ATTCAGATGCATTAGTGTTTCGGTTACGGCATTAGTTATGTCATCTGTTTGGTATGTCCTGTGTTCGGTATGGGTGCATATATGATTCAAATGACAGGAGGTTTCTTTTCTGTTGTTGGAAGGACAATATTTGCATTTTATTATGTTTAGTTGGAAGTATTTTTATGGAACTCTACTTATCTCCTAATTCTTTGGGTGAAGCTCTAATACTTATCTAAAGTATTCGAGAAGTGTTATAAGGAAACTGAAAATCCTTGGCGCCCAAGCAGGTGGCAAAATATATAACCACCGTTCTATTCCTCACTCAAAATCAAAAGAGAGTGTTGAATTTGAATTAGAGGAATATTAGCGATGAAGAAATCAATGCCAGTGCAAGTATGTTTCACTTTCATCAGGGTTCTGAAAGTCTTGTCTCCTCCTACTCCTCCTCCGCTTCCACTGCTCGCAAGAAGATTCATGGCTTCCAACTCCAAGGGGGAGAATGACATGGCCAAGAACATCTTTTCCATCTCCCCTATTTCCTACGGTGATCCCTGCCATGATCTGTATTTTCACGTGAAATCACCAGACAACGTCATAAGAATGTGTATCTCACCAGAGCCCACTGATGAACAGGTGGAGCAGCACAACAAGGCCTGCATAAACTACCTGAAGCAACTGCTGCCGGTGGCCTGGTCCCACAATTCCCTAACCACCCTCAAGCTCATCTTCAATCTCAACTCTCTCAGTGGTCCTGGAGAAAAATATTTTCCGGCAGCCTTCTACGCGGCCGCATCCTGGCTCCACCACAACCACCCCAAGACGCTATTATGCAACATCCCCTCCTTTGCCAGCTCCGGCTCCTTCTACCCCTCGATAGCTCGTTTGTGGGACCTTGTCGAGATTCTCTACGGCCTTCTTCTAGAACAAGGCCAAGAATCTGCGGCACAGAGGCTCTACCATGACACGCACTATAAGTTGTTGCACGACCGGGTTATGGAGGTCTTGGCGGAGCAGTTAAAGTCTGATATTGACACATTGAAGCAGCACAGACTGAAGATGGAATTGGAACCTGAAGATAATGATAAACTGCTTCTCGTTAGCCAGGCTGCAGAATGTTGCACTCCCAGCACCCCTGAAGAAGTCCAGGCCACCTGCGCCGTTTTGATGTTTGAAAGCCTTGGGAGGATTCTTTTCCCGCAAGAATCAGATCAATCAGAAGAATGGGAACGACTTAGGAAGGGGTTTTTGGAGCCCTTGACCGAGTATAGTCGTCAACGCACGCAAGTTTATCCCATTCGAGTTCGAGAGCCCTTAGTGGTCAAGAAGTATTTGGAGGAGGTGAAAGCAGGCGGCAGCATCATAAAGTCGGATGCATTGCTTCCAAATGATATCATAAGATATGTAAAAGATAAGGATGTTGGGGAAGCAGCTGAGATTCAGTGGAAGGCAATGATGAAGAACATGTACCAGGGGGAGAACAAATTTAAGAACTGCTTGGCAGTGTGTAACATCACCTACGCCATGAGCGCAGTCCCAGAATTGGCGGCAAGTTTGGGAATTTTGGTGTCTGAATTGAGTGAAGAGCCGGCATGGAAAGGAAAGGTGATCACTCTAGGTCCATTGCCTGATAAGCTGCCGCTGCTGCATTCGATACAAGGCAGTGATCTCAAGTCCAGGTACGACTTTGTGATCAGCACATGCAGCAACAGTTACCTCAAGGATGTTGATTTTGATCAGGTGTGTGATTTGATTCTGGAAGTGGCTGTGAATAATAACTTGAAGGCGGAGCAGATGATCAAGAAGGTGTTTGTGCTCACCGACTCTGTAAGATTTGGTGGCTGCAGCACATCCTGGAAGACTCTGTATGAGGCAAAACGCAGCAAGTTTAAGGAGCATGGTTACGGGGATGATGCAATGCCACACATTTTGTTTTGGAATATTTGGGACTTTGGGGGGTTTATGCCTCGTGTAGAAGAACCTCATCCAGGAGTGACCCTCTTGAGGGGAAACCCGAAGACATTGATCAAGTCCTTCTTGGATAATGGTGGGGAAATTGACCGGCATCGGCTCCTGGAAGCAGCCATTGCCGACAAAGAGTATCAAACTCTCTCTGTGGTCGACTGAACGTAAACTGAGATTGATTCAGATCAAGATCAAGATCATCCATTTCGGAGGAATAGGACTTGATGATGTGATAGTTAGTTTTAGTAATCTTTTGATGTTATTTGCTTTTATATTTTTGTCTGTGTCTTAGCCTAGCCTATGCTTAGCTACTAGAATTTGGATTTTGTTTAACAAAATGGTTATCTGGCAACAGAGGCACTGTTTTTTTCATTTTCACTCTTTGGAGGCTGATGCTGTGAACGATCTGAGTTGATTTGATCCCAATAGACACAAGGTTCAGGCCGGTAAGCGCACACTATGCTACCAATGTCATTCCTTAAACTTTGTGTACTTATTTGTCAATGATGATTCTTGTGCTTGCTTTCTGGTTTCAACTTGAATTTGTTGTCTTGTTTTCCAAATCTTCCAGGAAAATCTAGCTTATATTGATTTGATCCCAATAGACACAAGGTTCAGGCCGGTAAGCGCACACTAAGCTACCAATGTCATTCCTTTAACTTTGTGTACTTATTTGTCAATGATGATTGTTGTGCTTCATACTGTGTAAAATATAGGCAATTACCGAAAACTGACTTGCTTGCTTTCTGGTTTCAACTTGAATTTGTTGTCTTGTTTTCCCAATCTTGTAGGAAAATCTAGCTTATATTTATCTCTCCATGCTTCTCAGGAAAGATAGCTGTTTTCGGCGGGTATAGTGAGTACACTGATGCTCCATAGATGGGGTATGCAATCACAAGTGTCTCCATCATCCTTATGATGTGTATTTAATCATTCTTTTTTCTCTTATGTGTAGTTTTCAGTATAAATTGTAGCTATGAATTTGTCAGCTGATGGCATGATATTTTTCAGGATGGACTCTTTCTTGTTACAAACTCTCTTGATCATGTAAGCGGATATCCCTTGGATGTGCTGACCCCAAATGTAAATGAAAACAAGCACCTTGTACGGAAAGTTTTGAGTTGTGAAGTGAATGATGAAGACGCTCATGAGTCATGAGCAGCTACTATCTCTTGCAAAAAGGTGAACATCTCCTTCAATCTTTCTTGTATTGTGTTGGAGGGGTTGACAACTGATTAATCTATACTTATATCTCAGTATGAAATAATAACAACTTATTTTGTTGAGAAGTTAATAAGGATGTTTTGCAAATTAGTAATGTCATTTGAACACACTTAATTGACCATATTAGCTAACCACCTTATGTGGGCAATGCCACATCAATTCATGAAATTAGCTGACATGAATTATTAATTTTATTTATAATTTTAAAATTGATTCTTTGGTCTCCCAAGAAAAGGTTTTCCCTCATATTGCTCTGCTCGTTCATGTCCACCACCACAAGAAGTCGTCGTCGCCAGATGCTTACTGGGTTGTCCCTAGCAAATGTGGAAGTAACAACCCAGTAAGCGTAACAAATGGATATAAAGCAGAGTGTCTAACTTGTACTGTATCCAAGACAGGCACTTCTAATTGTAAACCTTAAATTACAAACACAAATTTAAATTATAGAAAATTCGGTATAAGTCCAAAATCGAAAACAGAAGTTGGATGCAATCCTCATATTTGTTGTTATTGATATAAGTCCTTTGACTTTTGTGCCACGTATAATTACATCTCCTTTTTTTTATTCTTTTTGATATTTACATTTTTATTTTTAAATTACTTTGTTATTCCCATCAAGTCGTCGTCGCCAAATGCTTACTGGGTTGTCCCTAGCAAAAAATGAAAGCACCTCATTAGCTGCCTTCCCTTATAGTTTTCTCTCACATCAATATTTTTAACAATAAGTTATTTTCTCATAATTTACCAAACATGCTGAGCTTCCCAACTTTTTTTAAAAATCACTTATCACCCCAAATAAGCAATGTGAAATGGGCGCTCATTTCCTATTGGAGGCTATAAGTGATTTTTTTTAAATTTTTTTAAATCCCAGCATGTTTGGTAAAAAGTTTGAAAATCACTTTTATGGAATGATTACTGCCACCCAAAGCAATTTGGAGAAGGCGGTGTTGAGCAGCTTTCATTTTTTGATTATGCGGAAATAAGTACCAACAACACTTTTAACATAAAATTTACCAAACGTCAAACTGCTTTATCTCACAGCTGATTTATCTCATAGCAAATCTAACAGCGATTATTTTCACAGCACAGCAATGTTAAACTGGCCCTCAGGAGGCGCTGGATGTTTAATGAATTTTTCAAACTACCCAAAATAACCCTCATTAACTTTACAATTTACATTTGTTATCCATCTGTTTTCACGTCTTCCACTGTTACTTAAATTCAGACCCTTCATCTCCCTCTCTTCCTCTTCCACTGTTACTTTAATTTTTCTTTTTGGATCCATTGAGCCATTCTCTAGAAGCTACAACACTCTTGTAAGTTTAATATTGGGTTATTTCTCCTCAATTTTCATTTTCCCCCTTTTTCTTTAATTTATAGGATTTTAATATCTTTTTAATGTTTCTTTAATTTCTAGGCTTTTATTCAGTTCAATATTCTTTAAGGTCAAAGCAAATCGTCTCTTTCTCTAATAGGTACATATTTCATTTTACATTTCTAATTGCTGTTGATTTTTCTGGCTTTTCCCTCATAAAAGAAAAATTGTTATATGGATGCGTGTTACATGCATTTTTTGGTTGGGATGAATTTGTGCTTTTATTTGTTGTTGTTAACTGAGAAAGCAAAGAAAAAGAAAAGGTAAATTTAGCCCACTCTATTTTAAAATTCTGGATCAATTCCTGAATTTTTATTTTATTTTTTTTTGTCTGAGATCAATTCCTGAATCAGTCCCTAGTTTTAGTGAAACTTTTGACTGTCATAGTAGGGCCCACTTAAGTTTGCCACGTGCACGCTCTCTATCTTCTTCCACAGCTGAAAAAACCAACAATTTTGCCGAACGATTTCACCGTTTTTGAGTGTGTTAACATAGCAGAAATTTTTTATTAAAAAAAGGAAAAAAAGAAAAAAAAAAGTTAGCTTGATTCATTAAAGGCTTCGCATTTCGTTGATTTTCGCAGTTCTTGTATCGGTATGTATCTGCAGTTTCTTCTTCATAGTTCACCAATTTGATAAATTTTTGGGTAAGTTCATCTCATGATAGTATTCTTTCTTTTTTTTGGGTTTTTAGTTGTAGCAAAGTGTGGTGCTTGGTCATTGATGTTAGTAAAACAAGGAATAAATTCTGGGTTTGGTGCAATTTATATGTTGGCTTCGTCTCCTGTGTTGAGAAGGCAACAGTTTTTGATAAGGTCTCTTGGAGATTACAGCGATCAGAACACTAACACCCATCAGAAAGGAATGCAAGGAACAAAATTCACCAGTGGAGCCTCTTTGGAGGCTGATGCTGAGAACGTTCTGAGAGCAATCACTCCGACCCTTGATCCCAATAGACACAAGGGTCAGGCTGGTAAGTGCATACTATGCTACCAATGTCATTTCTTTAACTTTGTATACTTATTTGTCAATGATGATTGTTGTGCTTGATACTGTATAATCTACGCAATGACTGAAAACTGAGGAATGCTGCAGCGTTTTGATGTTGATTCAAGGGAACTGACTTGCTTGCTTTCTGGTTTTATTTGAATTGGTTTTGTTATTTGTTTTACCAATCATCTTCTAAATCTACCTTATCTTTACCCCTCAATGCTTCTCAGGAAAGATAGCTGTTATCGGCGGGGGTCGTGAGTACACTGGTGCTCCATATTTTGCAGCTATCTCAGCATTAAAAATTGTTAGTGTCCTGCTTTTTAATTTAAAACTGAAAATAAAAAAGTTGGCTGGATTCAATCAAGAATGTAGCCTATTCTAGACTGAAATGGGATAAACAAGTGATTTCTATTTTTCGTTATGCTTGGCTTGCTAATATGGTGGAACAAAAATATATTCTTCCCCTTTCAGGGTGCAGATCTATCCCATGTTTTTTGCACGAAAGATGCAGCTTCAGTCATAAAAAGCTACAGCCCTGAGTTGATTGTACACCCAGTTTTAGAAGAATCATACAGTGTTAGGTGATTTATTTTTCATAACAATTTCATATGTCTATAACAATCAGTATATGAGCTTTATTATTGAAAGAGCTGCTAATTTTGTGAAATGATTTTTTTGTTTTTATGTTTTTTAGGGATGATGAAAAAGGTGTCATCTCAGGAAAGGTTCTTGCTGAAGTTGATAAATGGTTGGAAAGATTTGATTGTCTTGTCATTGGTCCAGGCCTTGGAAGGGACCCATTTCTTCTGGTTAGCTTTTTGTTTGTGCAGTTACTTGAGGAGCTGTCTTAGGCTAGTTTAGTGTTTGATTAGGACATGTACTAAATATCTTCAACACTTTAATTTTCTGTATGATGCACGACTGGTATTGTTGTTATAATCTCTACCAAATCCCATCCAAAATGTTTCTAAGATCGAATATCATAATGCAGGACTGTGTGAGTAAAATCATAAAGCTTGCAAGGCAGTCCAATGTCCCAATTGTCATAGATGGGGTATGCAATCACAAGTGTCTCTATCATCCTTATGGTGTATTTAATCATTCTCTTTTCTTATGCGTAGTTTTCAATGCAAATTGTAGCTATGAATTTGTTTGCTGATGGCATAATCTTTTCCAGGATGGACTCTTTCTTGTTACAAACTCTCTTGATCTCATAAGTGGATATCCCTTGGCTGTGCTGACCCCAAATGTAAATGAATACAAGCGCCTTGTACAGAAAGTTTTGAGTTGTGAAGTAAATGATGAAGAAGCTCATGAGCAACTACTATCTCTTGCAAAAAGGTAAACAGACTTTTTGTATTGTGTTGGTGGGTTGACAACTGCTTAATCTTATACTTACATCACAGGATAAAATATTAAGAACTTATTTTGTTCAGAAGTTAATAAGGATGTTTTACAAATACGTACTTGTCATAATCTGTATGTATCAAAATCATGTTGGCTTGCGTACCAAATTGTGGCACATCTCATTTCAGCTCATAAATCGTCAAACAACGTGCATATCCGGCAATGTGATACTAATTTACGTGAATGACAACATTGATGTTACAGAAAAGTTTTTTGCTAAGTTGTGTCTAGTGTGCAAGGTCACTAACTAATGAGATTAAGGATCCAGTTAATTTGAGTATTATGAACTACAAAGCTCTAAGGATATGCCAAGCACAATTTGCAATTAGCAATACAAACTGAGGGATTAAAGTAACTAATTAAAATCTTAAAAACAGAAAGAATAATTAATAAAAAAAACATACAATATGCTCATTCAAATTGCATAGTCATCACATCACTAGTAACTGAATTTTACACCACACTCACACAGCATAATGAAGGTTTTTCTATTCTAAATCTCTAACTCTTCAATGTACATCATCACCTTTCTGTGGCCATTTCAGCACATCTGAATTCTAGTCTCTTACTCAAGAAAAAAGGGAAGAAAAAACATTAGTTCTGCAATGAGATAACTAATCACAAATAACAATTAGGGGCCTCAACTTTCACCATGGTAGGCCATCTCCAGCCATGGGCTATTATAGCCCTAAAATAATACCAAAACCATCTCCAGTCATGGGCTAAACAAAATTTTGGCCAAATTTGGAGGGCCACATTTGGCCCTTTAGCCCTCCAAAAAGGCCATATGTAGCCCAGCTTTAGGAATGGGCCAAATTTGTAGTGGGACCCATACATATGCTTTTCAACAGCCACATCAAAGCACATCTGCTTTTTTATTTATTTATAATAATAAATGTGGTCAGTGTTGAAATAAAAAAAATCGGCAAATAAATCTTATCATTTATTTCAAATAAAAAATAATCATAAGGGATAAATGCAAGCCAAGATAAGTTCCCCAAATTTTGGGATATCTGTTATGTTTCAAATTGGGGAGGCTAA